AGTGTGAGTGTGTGTGTGTGTGTTAATGACGTGAGGAGCAGCAGCAGCACGGACTGGAGAAATATAAATATCCAGTGACCCAGTTAGCGCAGAGGGAGTCTGCAGTGGAATTGTGGGTAGAATGAGGAGCGGAAGCTTCTGGCGTCTCCTGCTGGCACACGGAGATCCTGCAGGACCGGCCCGCCTGGTCGTTGTCATAGTAACAGGCTGTATTTAATGGGAACAGGTTTCTAAGTGGAGGTTTGTCAGGCTGAAGGTCGCTGAGGTTTGCTGTCGTTTACTGTTGATAATGTCTTAATAATACAGTGTGTGAATATCAGCTAAACACACATAACGTCCACCGGAATCCTCTGTGGCTTTACAAGCGTTGCCATAGATGAGAATTGTGTAATTACGGTAATTCTGTCGTGACGTGAACGCAGCATTAGTGCGATTACAAGGCCTGCTCACAGTGGGGCCGTTTAAATTTAGTGTGGATTATTCTATCTTATTTTTATTCATTTATTTATTTGTTTGTTTTATTTATTTTTTTATGTTTCTTTCTTCTTCTTTTTTTGGTCATTTTTGCATTTATTGGCACAAGACAATGCAGAGAATTGACAAGCAGCAAAGTGAGAGAGATTTTATTTTAGTCTTTTTTTCTTTTCTCACAATGGAGTACTTCATGTTCATGTTTTTTAATCTTTTTAATTTTATTTTATTTTATTCTTGTGTTTTGTTTTTTTGAAAATTTGTGTTTTCATTTCATGTAAAGTAGAAGTACTTTATTAATTATTATTTGTGAATGAGGGACTCGTTCCAAACCCTAGTGATAAAAACCCTAATGAGTTTTTTTGAAAATCTGAAATAGCACAAAGTTTCCTGTAAGGGGTAGGTTTAGGGGTAGGGTTGGTGTAGGGCAATAGAATATACGGTCTGTACAGTATAAAAACCATTACGCCTATGGGATGTCCCCACTTTTCACAAAAACAAACACGGTTTTGTACACGGTCTGCTTTCCGCGTGAGATCTCTGCCTTCATCACATCACCGTCACAATCAGACCTGTATTTCCAGTAACACAAAGACGAGCTGCTGCGTTTGAAATGACACCGCAGATAAAGAGGAAAGCGTTTCCTCCGCACAGAATGAGGATTTCACTTTCCAAGATAAGACTCTTGTGAAACGAGAGAATAAAACGCCTCTGATGTGTTTCATATAAACCCTATGAGGCTGTTTCTACCGCACAAACACTCGCTCAGTCTCACGCTGATCTCAGATATAACAGAAACCAGGGGTGTAAAAAGTACTCAAATTATACCAGTAAAAATCTGTTATAGAACTTTTAAATAATAAAGTAGGGAGTGAAAATTCTCAATACTCATTTAAAAGTACAAGTGTCTGTCCAAAAACTGAGTGACAGTAAAAAAGTACAACTTTAAATTGTACTTAAGTATTACAACAGTAGAAGTAATCTACAAGAAATAACAAGTACTGTTTTTTTCAAACAAATAGCTTTCACCTTACTTCCCCAGTTCATTAATCACAGTACATTATGTAAAATTATATTGATTATGTGAAACAAATGATATGTTTAAAAATGCACCAATATGTGCATATTCAATATTTCAGAACATAACTCTAAACACTGGATGAAGCCCAGTTCAAAATTCTTGTTTGTTTTCGTTGACTTATTAGAGTTTGGATTTCTCTTTTTATCCCTGTATAAATCAGAAAATACTATCATTAGACAGAGAAAAAAAAATCTAATTTCAGTAGGAATAAAATGCTAAATATAAATCAGTGTGAATGACACATGAACAAACCTCCAGAATATAGAGAGGAATTCAACTCTAAGTTTTGGTGTATGCAAGTGTTACTAAAGTGGAGAAAAAACTTTTAAACATATGTACTGTTATTGAAATATCCAGCCGCAAATAGATAAAGTGTAATAAACAAAAAAATTTCTTTCCTCTAGTCTGAAAGAAGACATGAAAGCAAAATAGACCAAAATCTCAATTGAGCAGTGCATGAAAATAACAATGGTTTTGCATAGCGTGTCTTGCCTTAAGTAAAGTTAGTACAAATATTCAGTTTTAATTGCAATTGAGTAAAGTACAAATTGCCCAAAATAATATGTACGTCCAGTAATCAAGTAAAAAGTATTTTACACCCCTGAAAGAAACCATCTGATAGCTGCCGTCAGAGCCCATAAACACACACATGCGTGATCGTGTTACGTGTTTGAGGACTGTGACGAACACTTGAGGTCCAGCGCTGATGTTGAAGCAGAATCAGAGACGCATCGCTCTGTGACAGATCCGTTCCTAAATGCTCGATGTATTTACATATGATCCAGGCTTATTTGATCTCGCTAATAAAGCTGAGGGGCTCTAAGCGAAGGCCGACGGGGATTGTGAGTAGGGGATTTTGATTAGATCATTTGCAGTCGAGCTGCAGGAGCAATTAAGAGGCAGTCGCTCTGCTACGAGTGACTTCATTAAAGAGAGAGAGGAAAGATGGCTGCAGCTAATTAAAGAATGGACAGGTTTGATTTCACTATGAACCAACTCTCACTCGGGATGGTTGATCTCCAGCAGACGTGTGCACATTCTCGCTGTGTTTTTATATATGAATCACGATGAGCTCTGCACATCCTCACCTTCTCTCTAATGCTGCAGGTATCTACAAACGAAACGGCTTTGGTGTGATGCTGTAAATCAAAGCGCTCAAGAACATGTGATCGTTTGACCCCACACAGAAAACGTCTTTCACTCTTTGATGTTCAGCAGGACTGGTTGACGATCCAGTACTCTGATATGAAAATGTTCCTATGTATTTTTAATGAGAACGACAGTGGTTGCTTTTCCACGTTCACCAAGACTCTTTAATGCACTGTAATTATCCAGAAGTAACATTCAACCTCTAAAATGACTCATAAATATGCTTAACTCATGTTAAAACACATGGTAACCAGAGCTTGCTTGACTTTCTAACCTCCAAAACGATGTTTTAAAGCCTTGAGGGTGTTAAATCTGATTTTAAAGGCGTTCTCTCTAACCTCTAATCTTTAACCTTTGACCTTCCAGATTGTAACCTGTTGAATTTGTTTGTTCTTCAAAGGGAGCTTTGATAGTGAACGGCTGGCTATTGCTAGGCAAAGAATCCCGTACCGACTCGGTCGGGTAGTTGACGAGTGGCTACTCGACAAAGGTAATTAAACAGCACCAAACCCCACTAACGAACGGTCTGTCTAATCACGCTAAACACATCTCTGGACGAAGTGCAGGCCCATGGACGCAGCTTTTTACATGCGAAAAGCAAACTGGGATTTAAAAGGAGGAGAAAACAACATTACCAGTGCCTTACTACTCTTAATTCATAGTTTGCACCTAAAGAAGTGCTCATTGTGAAATATGTACACGAATCAGTTGTGAAGGGCAAACGAACGCTGCGATCCTCAGATCTGTGGATTCGTTCTGTCATCTGACGATGGGACTGCACTTCTACAGAGTATTAACCTTACCAATAACCCCCACATAACCCTCTCTTAACCTCCCAACAACACGCACAGCTGTTTACTGTTGTGAAACGTCCTAATCGAGCAGGAACTGATTCACAACCATCTAAACTGCACAGTTAAAGGGACTCTATTTCAGTGCCTCTGTTTCGTCTTTGCTCTCGTCGTTCTATCTAAATTGATTCCAACTTTAACCCCTTGAGTCCAGGAGGTCCTAACTAGCTGTTTCATTCGAGTTTCCTGGTAATTCACTTCCTGTTTCTGAGGACACACCCACCCTGAGGGCAAAACTTACAGCACTGCCGGGCGTTAGAAGTCTCATGTAGTTCTAGCTTCGACTAGCCAGCATGTCATGGATGTTTTCTGAATGTTAATGCAAGAATCAGCTTGCAACATAAAAAAGTACAACATGTGGCCAATTTTTTACTATTTACTATTACTATTTAAAAATTTCAGCCTGTTGAGGAAACTGACGTCGTGTGTCTTATTCACTGCTAAAAGTATTTTTGTCTTGTCTTCCGGGACACAAATATCGAAGCATTTTTAAATCAAGACTACTTGAGATGCAAAATGACAGAAGTCTTGTTTTCTGGGAAACTGTTAAAAATTAACAACAAATATCTGCCAACTGAGTTAGAAAAGAAACTTGATATAAGTGAATCTTTGACTCCATTGCCAGCCGTTTGTTTTTAATTTTGATAAATTTCTGAGAAAAGAAGACTTCTTATCGTATGCCATCTCCAGTAAACGTATTTTGATTCAAGAATGCTTTAGATGTTTGTACTGAAAAACAAGACAAAAATACTGAGCAAGAACTTCACTTTTTGCAGTGTGGGCAAAAGTTTCACGAGTAAAATATAAAAGACGTTTATATAGATGTATAATAAAATTGTTATACAGTTGTGTAGATGTATAACAAAACAAATTTTGTAAAGCAAAGTTCCAGGTTCAATACAAGATCTGAAATGAGCACAGATAGTCATTTGACTGAACGCTCAGTCTGTTGAAGCGTTGAGTTGTAGGATGCTGTCAGTCGATTTTAACATTATCTCAATCTGTACCTTTCTGTAAAAGAGCTTGAGGTGGCAGAAGTGTGTGAGTATATCAGAGTAGTGGACGGTCTGTCAACTCAAAGGGTTAAATGAGTTAACCGACAGGGAAACGTAAAGGTTAAGCAGAATTTAACCAAGCGTTCTTCTAAACTCTGAGGGCCTCCGCTCTTCTTCTCTTCAGCCGCTAGCATTTAGTTTTCATTGGATTGAAGCCCTCAGTCATAAACCTGTTTCTAAACTCACATAACCGAATGAGCGCAGATCAGATGAAGAATACGGATTATTAGTCAAAGCAGAACCATCTAAACAGAACGCCAAACTAACCTGCACGTAACGCTTGAATGAAACTCAGAGGGTTAAACACTGAACGATTTTTGTGCCTGAATCCGATTCATTGACTAAACGCTCTGCTCGTTCGTCTGTAGCGTTTGTGGAGGGAATACGGTCCCTTTAACGTCTACATGTCTGATGTGTTGATTTACTGTGTGAACCATCATGTGTTTGTCTGTGAATGCAGTTTGGACTATTGAGCGTTCAGTTTGGGTGTAGGGTTTTCGAAAGTCAACATGAACTCAAACTCAGTCATTAATTCCTGCTCTTATTGAGAATAAATCATCAGTGATGTTAGTCTAAAGAAATAAATGTATCCCGCTTATCATGCAGGAGAATGTTAAGGCAAGATGCCACAGATAAAACCATTGTTTTTTTGTTTTGTTGTTTTCATTTCAGTTTTGAGATTTTAGGCTATTTTGCTTATATAACTTGAATTCTTTCAGAATAGTGGAAAGAGAGCACCCAAATTACCAGTGGTGGACAGTACCGGAGTAGTTTTACTTCGTTACTGTACTTAAGTAAATTTTTCAAGTATCTGTACTTTACTGGAGTAGATTTATTTTGAGTAACTTTTACTTCACTACATTTCATAAAACTTCTCATTACTCCTTATAATATATCAATTTGTGTACTTCGTCCACCACTGCAAATTACACATCTAAGTGCTTTTTTCATTAGACTTTTTCTATTTGCGCCTGTAGATTTCTGTTACAGTACTAACAAGTCAAGTCAAGTCAAGTTGAGCTTTATTGTCATTCTGCTGCATGTGGGG